CCCTTGAAGCACTCCTGATGCCGAACGAGTCCCCAGAGCTGTTTCAGTCTACGCCCAGGGCTGCAAATGAGCTCAGTTCAAAAACAAAGCTGGGGTGCATTAGCTCCTTGGCCTGGTCTTGTACCCCCCACCCCCACCCTCCCGGGACTGCCGTGTTTGTTCTCCGCTGGCACTCTGATGGGCTGCAGCGGGCCCTTCTCCCCTGTCCGACAGTCAGGGCCCTCGGGAAGCTAGAGAGGGGTTCGGTGGCAGGATGCGGAGGGCAGTGCTGGGTACCAGCCTCCGCCCCCGACAGCTCAGGGGCTCCCAGGTGAAAGCCACCAGTGAGAGCTGGCAGGAAGCAGCGAGGCATTGGTCTGGCAGGCCCTTGAGAAAACAGTATTGCATTATTGTCACCATTAATAATAGGCCTTTATTTGAGCCTTGCAAGGACAATGCGCCAAACAAGGCTGAGAGGAAGAAACCGTCCCCGCCGGGGGCCTCGTAATCTATCAAGGCGAATGGAGGAAGAGACAGGACGTGGGGGGGGGGGGGCTGTCGTGCGGGCCAGGCTGCCGAGAGATTTCTGAGTCGCCAGAGGGACGGGTGGAAGACACCCCACGTCCTCCCTGTGGCAAGAGCACCACGTCCAGGGCCCCTGAGGACTGCGAGGAGGGCCCAATCTTAGCCCCGACGCAGCAGCGTGACCTCGGGTGCCTCCGCTGCAGGGGGGGCCTCCGGTCGGTGACGGTGACCGCGGAGGACAGGCCCATCGCCCAGCCCGGGGCTAATGCCCGCCGCGAACAGGTGGTGAGAGCGTTGGTGGACGAGGACTCGCCAGGAGCGGAGCCGCGCCCCGCGGAGCGCACCTGCCGTCCGCTGGGCCTCGGTGGCCCTTGGTGGCCCTCGGTGGCCCTCCGTGCAGGAGCCGCCCCGGGAGCCAGAGGCCCACGCCTGATTGCTCCCCGTTCCGGGGCTCCCCGTACGGGGGTGCGGTGGTATTTGGGCTGGAGGGGGCTGAGGAGACCGCCCCCCCCCGCCGCGTCGGAAGTGGCACTGGCCTCCAGAAAGGCTGGCAGCCGGTAGCTGCAGCTGTGTTGCAACAAGCCTGATTTAATTTGGGGGGTGGTACAGACGGCGCTGTGTGGTGTTTGTTAAAAGCCAGAAGAATGCAGCTTATTCACCAGGCTGTGAAAATGGCTGTGCCTCGGGTGGGGACGCCAGAGGAGAATGTGTGATAGCATTTTAAAAGAGTGAAAATGCTGATAATTATAAATTTATCATCATGCCCATTATGCATGTGATCTAAGTGGATTAACTCCTTACAGCTGAGGAAGCATCAGGTTTCTGGAGGCCTCCTTCCTCCCAGGGTTTATAATCCCCTTCTGACCTCTCTGTTAATCTGTAAAATGGGAATCTCCTTATTGTCAGTAACCATTGTCTGTCACAGTCCTTTTATCACCACCTTGGTTTCTTGGAAATAAAAACCTGGCAGGAAAAAAAAAAAAGTACGTCTTCTCCCATAATGCAATTGGTATAAACCCAAAAAACATTGGAGAGGGGAGAAAAAAGACCACTTACTGGAATCCTATGGTAAATGGTTTTGTAAAGCAGAGAGGCATCTGTATATTTATCTTTTAGGTCGGTCTGGATTTTTCATATCCACAACTATTGCACTGCGCTCTCGACCATTCTGGCAGCATTTCTTGTTTTCACATTCGCCTCTGTCTTTCCTGTAGAAAATCTTTCAGGTTGTTGAAGCTAGTGAGAGAGATCGAGAAGGAAAGCAAGAGTGAAGATCGGGAACCCCGGTGTCCCCTCAGCTCCAACCTCCTCTCCTGTGTGGCCTCGGGCAGGACGCTTGGTCTCCATGGGTGTCAGTTTTAACATCAGTAAAACGAGGGATTTGAAGAGTTAAGAAAAACCCAGTGAAAGGAGTAACTATTATGGAATTCTTCCAAGGAGGCAGTGCTGGGCCCAGTGTCCATTTAGAAGAACTGTTACTCCCTTCTTATCAGTGCAGATGTATCCCTTGAAAGGTGCAGGAGCATTTCTGGACAGCGTTGTCGGGAAGAAACTTGATCTGGGAATTCTTTGTCCTCGAGGCCCTGGCACGGTGGCGTCCGCCGACCTGTCCCCTTGGGAGACCCCCTTATTGAATTACACCGCCATCAGCAGTTGGGACCTGGACTATGTATTATTCAGGAGACAGCACACGGCCCTGCAAGTGCAGGTACTTTATCAGCTGGGATCAGATGGGTTATTGCATTCAGAAAATCCTCATTGTGTATTCGGCTTGTTTCTGCTCCCTGTTCCACTTGACCACGGTCCTCATCAGCTCCCAGGGCCTCCGGGGATTTCGCAGGGACACCTCAAAGTGCTTGGATGGTGGTTGTGAATCTGCACCTGAGCAGGAGAACCATCAAAAGCAATCTCTCCAAAGCCTTACGTTTAGCAGAGATCCTTTTAAGTTCTTTAAAAGAAGAAGAAAAAAAAAAGAACTTGGGGAAGCTCTCTGGGGATTCATGGACTAATCCTAGTTCTCTAGGGGTGCTGAACCTTTGAGGACAGCGGTGCACATGACTCTCTACCCAGCCAGCCAGCTCTGAAAAGCTATGGACTGATGACACTCAACTGCTGAGGAATCTAACCAGTCAGCAGTTTGTAAGGCTCTAGGCTGGAGCCCACCTGCCGAGAGGGAGGGAAGGAGACAGATACCCCACACATCCCTAAATGTCAAAGGGCTGAATTTGCACATGCCCAGACGAAAGAGGAAAGAGGTTTGCTCGTTTCTGGGAAGGAATGGAACTGAGCTGGGGAGGACTTTATAGCCTGCCCTCCCTGCAAACAGAAATCTGTTCATCTTCCAGAAGTTTCTGTGGTAGTTCTTGCCCCATTTCCCAGACTGCTTATAGGGTTTTAGGGGTTGCCAGCTGCATGATCTTTCTTATCTCACCCACCTTGTTCCTGCTGTGACATCACCACATCTGATTCAAACCACAGCGGTAGAATCTGACCCACCCATCCTCGTTCAGGCTCAAAGATGATGCCAGACATATGGGACCTCACTAGAGATGATGGGTGGGAGAGCAGAGACCCATCAGGCTGTTAGACCAAAACGCTAATAGGCCTGACACCAGTAACAGAATAATAGCTATAATTGACGATAGCAAACGCACTGAGTGCTTGGACTTTGCCAAGCATATGTTAAACTGTTCACACGTAGGATAATGTGCACAGAGCAACGGTGTGTGTGTTTACACAACCAGGTATACAAGCATATGGTAATGTCCCCCCACCCCCACACATACACATCACAGCCTTCTTGATAAGCACACTCCATAGAGTGTCTTGTAAGTGCTGTGCAGACTCTAGCTCCCGACCACCCGAAGAGGCAGGTGCTTTTGTTATTTCCCATTTGACACGTGATACCGAAGCACTGAGAGGCTAAGTAACCTGCCAAAGTGACACCAGATTATCCTCTGTCTTCTGCTGGGTCGTTAACTCCACCTCTGTAAACCCTTGACAGGTGTATTTTTCTCATCTGTGAAGCAGGTATGATCTTCCCTCTGCCTCCTTATTGTGGGGATTAAATGGAAAGTTTAATGATAAAGCAGGGCAGAAATTTGTGTTATTCCTTATTTAAGTGAGCTGTAGAGAAGGCATGTGAGGGGTGTCTAATAATGATCAATATTGGCTGAAATGAGTGATCTAGACTTACAGGCCAACATGCAGTCCATGGGTATGCCACGGGACTTCATCTTAAACCTTGAGATTTCTAGAAGTCAATCAGAGAAAGACAGTTACATGATTTCACTCCTATGTGGAATTTAAGAAACAAAACAGAGGATCATAGGGGAAGGGAGGGAAAGGTAAGACGAAATCAGAGACGGAGGCAAACGATAAGAGACTCTTACTCTAGGAAACAAACTGAGGGTTGCTGGAGGGGAAGGGGCAGGAGGATGGGGTTGCTGGGTGATGGGCTTTGAGGCGGGCACATGATGTGATGGGCACTGGGTGTTATAAATAACTGATGAATCATTGAACTCTACCTCTGAAGCTAATAATACGCTATATGTTAATTGAACTTAAATTTTAAAAAAAATAGCCAAAACCCTTTGAGATTTCTATTGGACAAAACGGGTTGGGATTTTTGAGGGGAGCCCTGAGACAGTGGAGTTTTTGGATCATACGAGCAGTCTACCTGCAGGCCTTGAAGGGGAGCTAGGGGTGCTGCCCCTGGCTGGCCGGGGAAGGTGAGGCAGCGTGGCCCACGATTGGTCGGATGTGCTTTGGAGGGATTTGGTGGCCTCACGGGATTGGTAACCCTCAGGTAGAGAACATCTCCTGGGGGTGGGGGGTGCACATCAGGGCCCATCTTGGCTAGAAGGTGGCCGCTCCCGAGTTGGCCTCCTAGGTTTTGTGACTGGATATCCTGGTGTTAGAAGGTGTGAACTTGGCTGAGCTTGGCTTTCTTTAAAAAGAAAGAAAAAGAGTAATTGTCAGGGAGCTTTGCCGGAGGCAGTTTTGGGAGCTTTTTCATTAACAGTGATCAGAGGTTTGATTTTACAGTGTTGTCTAGTATTTTGGCCACTCACCTCATGTGACTGAGTTTACATTTTAATTGATGTTAAATTAAGAGTTTATATCCTCAGGTGCACGAGCCGCATATGGAGCCCCCGTAGCTGAAGTGACTGGTGACCATGACGTCAGACTGCATAGATACAAGATATCATCATTATAGAAAATTCTAGCTGGTAGCATATTCTTCTGGGTATAAGACGGCAAGCCTGCTCCTTCCTAGGTCAACTTCTGTGACCCCTTCTAGCCCCAAAACTCTACTCCATCTCTCGGAGTCCCACAGGGCTCCTGGAGGCCTAGTTGCTCCTCTGAGTTGCTTTTTCATAAGCACCAATTCTAAATGCTTCCGTCGTGCTTTTGCTGCCGATGCCACAGACCCAGGTCTTCTGCAGACACACGTGGCTCTCGGGCTCATTTTCCTTGCACTTTTCCCCCTCCAGCGGGAGGACCTGAGGGCGTCCGTTCATTCTGGAGCAGTTGCCTTCCAGAACGTATTCAGAATGTACTCCGCGTGTTCCAGCCAGGATCCGCAGGTCAGTCTTACCCACCTCCGTGAAAAGCCATCTTACAGGTCCAGCTGCTCTTCGTGCCAACTGTTGGGGCTCCCTTTGTGTGTGAGGAATAACAGAACTATGTTGTGTATTTTGAATTTTCTCGAATGAGTTTGTGTGTGAGCCGCTCAGCTACAGAGAAGGCCTTTGACTAGAGGGAGTGGTCTTGTGTGGGAGGGAGCTGGGCTGTGTGGCAGGGATGCAGGGCACCCCCAGACACCTCCGGCTGCAGACAGGACCAAGTCTGTCTCATTCTTGCAGCTGCAGGGCCCCGGCGTCCCCCAAAGCAGGGAGCTCCCCAGCCAGATGCTTCAGGATGTCGTTTCCCGTGGCCCCAGGTACCCTCCTCCCTGCTGGAGTGAGTGAGTGAGTGAGTGAGTGTGTGTGTGTGTGTGAGAGAGAGAGAGAGAGTTGTGGTAAGACACTGAGAAAATAGACTCCATGAAACAGTTTTTTACTTGGGAAAGAAAAAAAAAAGAATTATTGGCGATTTTGCCTCGAGTGTTTGGAACCTGACACCAGCCTCGTTTTCCAACACTGAGCCTCCAAATGTCACCCGGTCCAGGTTGCCGACACCGTGTCTCATTACTGTCTCGATTCTACCCCCCCCACCCCCCCAGTCTCCTTTTCCCAACAAACCCCTTACATCTCGAAGGTCAGAACCCCGGACAGCTTTTTACACAGCCACCATATGGTGTTTGCTTTAGCATAGATCCACAAATGATGTGTTATTATAGTGGAGGTGCAGAAAATTATATGACAAAACCGGGTTTGTTTCTTTGCTAGAAACCCAAGGCTGAAATACTGCAGTCTTCCTTCAAGCCCGGCTCAGAAGACGAAAGGAAGCCTTTCCCAGAATTAGGGGGCATTCATCAGGGACCAGAGGGGGAAAAAATAACATTGCACTGGTCACTAGGTGCTGGGCTAGTGGTTTATTTTCTGTCTGTATTTTATTAAATTCTCATTCCGTTTGTTTCTCGTGCGACTCATTTCCACCTCTAGATGTCTGCCTGCCCCCCCCCCCAGGAGGTTGTAACCTGGCTGTAGTATGAGTGTGCAATTATAAACTGACAGTAGTGTGGGCATCAGAGCTGAGACTCATCGGTTGGATCTCACAAAGGAACAGGAGTGGAAATGAGTGTTGGGTGAGCGCCAAGGTGTTTGGCAAGGACTTAATGCCCACCCAGTGGATTATACCATTTTGGGCAGAATGGTGATGTCCTGTGGATTGGATTGGTCCTAAAGGAAATGATCAGGAGTTGGGTCTTACTTATGAAGGCACTGGGGTGTCCTGGAGGCCAGTATGTGGGATCACAGTATTTTCCCCCCTCACTATGGCTTCTGAGGCAAGACTTGTGGACAATGGAAAGATCTTACCTAATTTCTACCTCATTTTCCTCACCTTTAGAAAAGTGACTTGGAGCCACACAGGAGGTTAGAAGGATCTTGAATCCCGACCACCTGTTCCTCTGGTCTGAGGAGACCATACCCCAGACTTCCTGGAATGCTCTGCTATGTGCATCTATCCTTTTTATTTCACAGCACAAAGGAGGGGAAGATGAGAAAGTCATGCGTCAGTTTAATAGTGGAGCCAAGTGGAGTCAAGACCCTCTTTCCTGGCCCTTAGGTCAGAGGTCAAGTTTGAGTAAAGGACATGTTGATGAAAAATAGTTTGAGAACTTGACGTGCTGAATTCAATTTGAGCAGACCCCTGAGTTTCAGTTTTCTCATCTGCAGAAAGGGTTTGTTTTACTTGCCCTATTTGCCTGAAAAAGAAATAATATGGTGCTACCTATGGAAGTACTTTGCAGAAAATATGATTTTATACCCGTGTTGTCCAGAATGGTAGCCACTAACCACACACATGGCGATTTAAAGTAATTAAAACTAGGGATCCCTGGGTGGCGCAGCGGTTTGGCGCCTGCCTTTGGCCCAGGGCGCGATCCTGGAGACCCGGGATCGAATCCCACGTCGGGCTCCCGGTGCATGGAGCCTGCTTCTCCCTCTGCCTGTGTCTCTGCCTCTCTCTCTCATTCTATGTGACTATCATAAATAAATAAAAATTTTAAAAAAAATTTATAAAGTAATTAAAACTAAATACAAGGAAAAATTTAGTTACTGATATTCACTGGCCTTACTTAAGCGCCCAGGAGCCACACATGGCTAGTGGCCACCGTATTTGCCAGTGCCGGTGTATACCAGAAGGAATGGGGGCTTGGCTTAGGGTCCTGAGGGTTAGTATGGGGACTGGGGACTCGATCCAGACTCTGTCAGTCACCAGCCATAGGACTTGGGAGGTGACCTCGAATTTCTGAGCCTCTCTGCTTCCTCGTCTGAAACATGGAAAACATAACTATATCATCCTTACAGCGTAGCCGTGAGGGTGTAGTGGAATTGTGTCTGCCAAACAGCTCAGTACCTAGTACTTCCTAAGTGCTCCTGTGACTTCTTATTGCTTCAGTCATGATTTGTTAAGCTGTGGTGCTGTCACTCCACTGCTACACCGTGTGGGAAAATCCACATCTACGAGGTCCACACCCTTCTGACCTATGTAAGGAAGGAAGGACAGATGAACTTCTCCAGGGTGGTGTTGAGCGAGGGAGTGTGGTCGTCTTAAGGCCAAGGGGGTGATGCCTGGACAAGGCAGTTTTGTTCCAAGTGCTCCCAGTGCCAGGGAAGTAACTGTTCTTTGGGAGAGTGAGAAAGCGGGGGATTCCTTGCAGTGGGTGGGGAGGGAGGAAGAAGCTGAGGGTAACCATGGGCTTTTGGCGTCCTCTGTGGCTCCCCTGGAATCAGGGCGGCTATTTCACTGGGCTGAGCTGGGCTGCATGTGTGCAGTAGGCCCGGGTCGGGGCAGTGGCAATATACTGGGTGCTCCCAGTCCTTCTGCAGGAAGGGAGTGATGAACCCCAGGCCTCTGCTGTCCCCCAGACCAGGTGCCACTGATGACATGAGAGACGGTGGCAAGCCTACTGTTACCCGGGAGGAAAGATGACTAGCTGGTCTCCCCCAGCATGGGGATGGGTGATAGCTGGGGAGTCGGGGAGGGAGCTCGGGGCCAGCGCTAACTGGAGGTGGGAGGTGGCACTGTGGGAGCCCCTCTCCTGTGGACGGAGGGGTGGATCAGCCCTGAGCTGTGCCTGGGCCAGGTGACGCCACCTGGAAGGAGGCAGGAGAGGACTAGGTATGCAGGTCTGGTCACCAGGTAAGCTCCCTGGAGATTACCTCAGCTCTCGTGGCCCCGCTGGCTCTAGATTAGGGAGGACTTTTGTGGTTGTAAGTCATAAAGAACACTTTTGAGTATAATGTAGAAATGCGAAAGGAAAAAGGTTTTTGGAAGCAGCATGTGAGCCTTGGGATATGCTGGGACCGAGGTGCGGCAGGATGCACCCCCACTCCTTTTCCCCCTCCCTCTCTCCTACCTGCTTTCCTCTCTCCATGGGCTTCTTTGGAAATAGGGGCACAGTTTGAGGTTGGGGCTGGGGGTGTGTGCCCCAAATGCACACCTTAGGAACCTTTCTAGGTTCCCTTTCCAATTCTCTGGGATGGGTCAGTGGTCCCGTGACCCTGGGTCAGGCTATCCAAATGGTACCTCCCTCTGTGACTGAGGAGGGCTAGTTAAGCTGTGGTCCTTAAGAGCTGCCCAGACTCCCCAAAAGGTGCCTGTTCCTAAGGGGAAGTCAGCTCCTGCCAGAGGAGAGATGTGGCCCCTTCGAGGAACAGACCCAAAGGAGGTGGGGAAATGCGAAGATTCGGGAAGGGACTCGGGTCTCTGACCCCTCGACTGGCTCCACTTACCATCTCCCAGGCATGGAGTCATGGGGCTGTGGCTTGGGGACCTGCCGTATTGGGTGACCTTCCTTTCAGTTCTCCTCCTTGCATCTCCACAGCCAGGCTTCTCTTCCTCCTAGGCTCCCGGAGCCCGAACTCAGAGCCACCATGTGGGACTGACCATCAGTGTTGGTTCTCTCATGAGAATCTCCCCTTCCCCGGGTGGGCAGTGAGCCCCGTGATGGGGGGCAGCTGCAGGGGGGAGAAGAGTCTCCCCTTCCCCAGATGGGTGGTAAACCCTGTGATGGGGGGCGTGGGGGAAGACGAGGCTCAGATCCCCAGTGCCCCACACACTGACCCTGTGCACGCCCAGAATGGGGTGGGCTGAGAGCTGCTCCTGCACTGGCTCCTGAGTTCCTGTGCACACAGGCCCGAGTGCAGCATCAGGAGCCCCCTGGGTCCCTTTTCACCTTCCAGACTACTGCTGTGCAGGCACAGCAGGTCACCCCTCCTTTTATCACAGGCAGCCTCGTGGTGTTCCTCTGTTGTTTGTGGGGACAACTGTGTCCTCAACTGCACTCTCCGTTCCTGGCGCGGGTACCGTGTATCTGCGTACAGCTTCATTGGAAAGAACGCATTTGCATTGTGCTTGGTCCCGGGGGGTGGGGGGAACAAGTCAAGGAGTCTTACAGAAATGCATCGTAAGACTGCGTGTCCCTCGTGGCCCAGAGCACCTGACACCCTGCGGGCACCCCTGCGGATGCCTGCTGGACTGTGGCCCAGGGGAAGGCAACAGATGGGGTCCTGTCAACAGAGCCAGGCACCCAGCGTCCCCTCAGGGTTGAGGAAGGCTGTGGGGTGTCTGTGGCGTTCCTGGCTGGACTGCGCATGTCCCGTCCCCGCCCCCCTTCGCCAAGAGCTCTGCTCCTCGGTCTTGGGCTGTCGCACAGGCTGAGCAGAAATAGTGTCGGGCTGTCTCGCAGGCCTCGCCCTTCACCCAGGCATGATTCACTTGGGAGTGATGCGCTCCCACGCCCACTGGCAGCCGCGCCCCCTCTATTTTGGTTTGGGTGTCCTAGGAGGAGGGAGGAGCCAGTCTCCTGGCATCCAAGAGGCCCCCCACCTCCGCCTGCCACAGTAGGCCAGGCCCTGCTCCTAAGCCAGGGTGGAGCGCTCAGCTCTCAGCCCACCCGCTTCTGCTTGCCCATTCT